ACACCCATCGGAGCTTTTTACGGAGCGGGGGCCACGCAGGAGCGCCGCGCCGCCGACCCCCGCAGCTGAGGATCAGGCGACAACATGGCGGTGGGGACAGCCAGAACAAGCATTCGATTTTTGAGGGGACGGAGAAACTCCGTCGGGCTCGTCCGGACCCCTCCGGCTCTGCGGAGGTTTGGGGAGGTGGGAGGAGATGCCTCCGTCCCCAAAAGCTGGATCAAGGGCTCCTTCCAGGAGCATCCCCGGGCTGCGATCCCCCGCAGAGGGGGAGAAATATATGCACCACAACCGTGAGAGGTTTAAACCCTCCCCTGCCCAGGACGAAATCCTTCCTCCGGCTCCGATCCCCCCACGGAGCGGTCCCTGGCCCATCCCCCCGCCCCCCCGCCAGCGCCAGCCAAACCTCCGTCGCTGGGACCTCACCACCTACCAACCCCGTGCTACCTGAAGTGGTGAACTGTTTGCCGCACTCCCGACACTTCAGGGGCCCGTCCGCGATGTGAATCTTCAAGTGAGCCTTCAAGTTCCCCACCTGGGGACAGACAGAGGGATGGATGCAGAGAAACCCCCCCCCATCACCCCCGTCTCCCTCCGGAGGGACCCGAACCGCCGCGGGTCCGGCTCTTCCCCCCAACCCAATTCACCTGGTTGAATTTTTTGTCGCAGTGGGGACACTTGTGCTCCTTGTTGGTGTCGTGGGTCTCCAGGTGCCGCATTTTAGAGGTGGGGTCGGAGAAGGAGCGCCCGCAGTAGTCGCACTGGTACGGTTTCTCCCCGCTGTGGACCAGCTGGTGCCGTTTGAGGTTGCCGGAGGTGGTGAAGAGCTTGCCGCAGTCGTCGCAGCGGTATTTGGCCTCCCCCGTGTGCCGTTTCTTGTGGAGGTTCAGCAGGCTGATGAGGCGGTAGCTCTTCCCGCACTCCTCGCAGCCGTAGGGCTTCAACGGGCTGTGGAGGAGACGGGGCTGTCACACCGGGGGGGGGAGGGGGGAAGAACCGGCGTGCCGAGCTCCCACCGCCCCGATCCGAGCTCCACCACCCCAGCTAGACCCATCCGGATCCCACAGGATGCCTTGAAGCAATGCAAAAGGGAAGGACAGGGGCAGAAAGACAAACCTCCTCCCGGACTACCCCACCACGCTGATGGATTTCGTGAGGATTTGATCTTTTGCGGCAAAAGCCACGGTTTTTTTAGCTGCTGCCGGCGTCTTTTGGTGGCTGGCGCCGTCCAAACGAGCTGCTGGGAGTCTCCAACCCTGCAGCGCCGACCCCTCCAGACCGAGGCGAGAGGCAGAGCGGCGTGGGCTGCTGTACCGACCTCTTGCTCAAACCCTTAACGCCCTCAGCCAGCCACCGGCACAAGCCTTTCTCCAGCCGGCTCAGCCCGGCGGCACCTCTCCGTCCCCGGCGTTGCCGTACCTGTGCGTCTTCTCGTGGGCTTTGCAGGCAGCCGGGTCGGAGAAGGCTTTGTTACACTCCCTGCAGGAGAAGGGTTTCTCGCCGGTGTGGATACGGATGTGCCGCTTGAAGTTACCGGTGTGGGTGAACTCCTTCCCGCAGTCCTAGGGACGGAGAGAGACAGGCGCAGGCGCGGCCGGTGACTCCCGGTGTCCCTGAGGGACCGGAGACCCCGCTCGGGGCCGCGGCCGGCCTCACCTCGCACTTGTGCGTGACGGAGCCGTAGGCTTTCGACTCGGTCCTGTCGCTGTAAGTACCCGAACGCAGCAGACGGGTTTCACCCAAGTTCTCCTGCCCGGAGTCGGTGCTTCCCGATTCGTTATCTTCGGTGTTTTCTCCGTTTTCTAACCGGGGCTGCTCTTCCTCGGGGATTTTAGCCTCCTCTTTGTCCTCCGCCATCATCCCCCCTTCTTCCTCCTTCCCTTCCAGCTCCATCTCTGCAGGCATTTAGAAAACGGGGGTGCTAGGGATTGGGATCGGCATCAGACACAAAACCCACCTGTATTTCCTAACTCGAAGCCCGGGTTTAAGGCGATGGGGATTAGACCTGCCCCACTGTACTCGGGGGAAATCCTGTACTCCATCGTACCGCGCAGGTGCCGAGACCCCTGCCTGGAATCAGTTTGGATTTACAGGTTATTAGGCCTAAAATCCAAAAGCCTGCGTGGACAGAGGACATCTCCCATCCTCTCCTAGCTCTGCCCCACGGACAACCGCTCCTGTGGGCTCCGCGACTCACGGGAGACAGCGTTTGCACAGCAAAACTCACGTTAACAGAATTAATTGCAGGGTCAACAAGGGTTGAACCCTTGCCCAGCTTTGCTTCAGCCCTGCTGAAGGGAACGGGCAGACAGAAAAGTCCCCGCCACCGCCCTCGCTCACGAACACACCTCCCGTTTCGGCGCCTGGAGGGATGTTGCCCTTCGCCGCGGGGCTGCCGCTGCTGACCACGCTCTCCGCCGGCTGCGGGTGGATGGGGAATTCGGCGTTGGGGCCCTCTTGGATGGCAACATCTGCCCCTACAAGCAACAGAGTGTCTCGGGCACGCTTGAGGAGACATCAAGCCTCCTCTTTGTCCTCCGCCATCATCCCCCCTTCTTCCTCCTTCCCTTCCAGCTCCATCTCTGCAGGCATTTAGAAAACGGGGATGCTAGGGATTGGGATCGGCATCAGACACAAAACCCACCTGTATTTCCTAACTCGAAGCCCGGGTTTAAGGCGATGGGGATTAGACCTGCCCCACTGTACTCGGGGGAAATCCTGTACTCCATCGTACCGCGCAGGTGCCGAGACCCCTGCCTGGAATCAGTTGGGATTTACAGGTTATTAGGCCTAAAATCCAAAAGCCTGCGTGGACAGAGGACATCTCCCATCCTCTCCTAGCTCTGCCCCACGGACAACCGCTCCTGTGGGCTCCGCGACTCACGGGAGACAGCGTTTGCACAGCAAAACTCACGTTAACAGAATTAATTGCAGGGTCAACAAGGGTTGAACCCTTGCCCAGCTTTGCTTCAGCCCTGCTGAAGGGAACGGGCAGACAGAAAAGTCCCCGCCACCGCCCTCGCTCACGAACACACCTCCCGTTTCGGCGCCTGGAGGGATGTTGCCCTTCGCCGCGGGGCTGCCGCTGCTGACCACGCTCTCCGCCGGCTGCGGGTGGATGGGGAATTCGGCGTTGGGGCCCTCTTGGATGGCAACATCTGCCCCTACAAGCAACAGAGTGTCTCGGGCACGCTTGAGGAGACATCAGGCTCCAGGCAGCAGAGCCTGGCAGCAGGACAGGGTGCGCTGGGGGGAGCGACAGGGGGATTTTGGGTGTCACCCCTTGGTGGCTCACCTTCTTGGCCACCCAGCTGCTCCGTCTGCACCTCGGGCTGTGCCGCTGCGGCCACGGGCGTCTCCTCCTTCCCCTCCGGGTCGGGAGGAAGCAGTTTTATTTTGTCAAGATCACCCAGCGCTTCTGCAGTCGACCTCTTGCCCTCGACAGTCGCCTTGTCGGCCCCTGGGAGGGAAGAGGCGAAGCGCTCCAGCTTTTACTGCCCGCGCAGGGGCACCCCGACAGCCGCTAGAAGGATTCCCAAATCCCACCAAAGATTCAAGGAAGCATCAGTTCTTCGACTGCTGGTGCCTCACAAGGGGATCAAACCCCATCCAGACGCCCTCGCGCACCAGGAGATGTACCCAGGCCGTGGGTTTGGATGGCGGCCAGAGAGCGCGGCCGCTTCACGGGGCAATTTCCAGTCTCCCCGGATGAGGGAAAGCGAGGAGGCTACGTACCGATCCCGGCGGGGGGCTGCTGGCTCTTGGCGGGGCTTTCTGCCGGCACAGCAAGGGACTTGAGAGCGTTGCAAGCGCTAACGATCTCCTGCATTTGGAGGAAACCCGCCACGGCCAGCACGTCTTCCACGTTGTCGGGGTTTAGGCTTAGCTTAGCCGTGTACATGAACTCCAAAACCTGGCCCAGGCCTGCAAGGGAGGCGATGGCAACCAGAAATAAGCTCTCACCTCTCGGCCATACAATTCTGAAAAGCCCAAAGCGCACGGAATAACAGGCTGAAGAGCCTCCCTCAGACCCTGGGCACCAAACGGCTTCGTTTAAGCAGCTCGGAGGGATATCGGCTAACCCTCTGCCTACCTGCCGCGTTGCTGATGTCGAGGTGCACCACGTCCTTCTGGTCGACGAAGAGCATCCTGAAATACTCGCTGCAGGCCGCCAGCACGGCTTTGTGGGCCTTGAAGTCGATGCCGTCCACCACGAAGGTGCAGTCGCACAGCAAACCCAGCTGCCGCTGCTGGTTCAGCTGTTCCAGGACTTGCTTGCTGTGCTGGGGGAAATCCATGGCTGCGGGGAGAAAAAACAAAACCCCGGGACGGGGTGGGGGTGAGACAGGTGCCAAAACCCCCCCGACGCCCCGTCGGAAAGGGTCACGAAGCAGGACAGATCACAAAGGCACGGATCAACCACAACCCGACCACCCTGTTCAGTTAAAAAACCTGGACCAAAAGGCCTAATTTCAGCTCCTCGCTTACAGCCGCCTGCCTCCCCCACCAAATACAACCCCAAACCCTCTCCTGTAACAGGCACACCACCAGCGCGGGGCTGCAGAGTTGACTGAAGAGTCAATATATATATTTTTTTTTTGGCATGCTAACAGCATTTAAAATACATTCATCGCTCTTCATCCGGCCCAAGCTGCGAGCAGGAACCCTGCGGCCTCTGCAAACGTGTCCCTTCAGCGAGCAGGCGGGGG